AATTATGTCCCCACTGGATGCAACAAATGCCTCGTTTATAATGAGTTTTATTGGTTTTGTCTCATCGCACCGGGACACGGCATCACAGTATGTTAAGAGGCGTAACATTTCCGTCACACGCTTGAGGTATTCAGCCAATCACAACGCACTGGATAGCTGGCCAATCAGAGCACAACTCGCTTTTCAGACCGATGAGCTTTGTAAAAATCGACGCGTTTCAGAAAGGCGGGGCATAGAGGAGAAACAATAATGTACAGTATGTGGAAAATAATGTGTTTTTTGAACCTTAAACCGCATAAACACATTTCATTACACAAGATAATGTTATTTTTTAGCAACGTCATATGACCCCTTTAACAGATGCCTTTGAACTTAACTATACATTTATGCATGTGTAACTTTGCATATACCTACTTAGATTTTGCATATTTTTAAAAGAATAATTCTGGCTCTTAGGTTTGCTTGCTCAAAGCTGTTGCTTTGGATCAAAACATCTACTTTTTGTTTATTAATGCATTTATTAATTTATCAATAGTTTATTAATATATTGTATTAATAATTTATAAAATAATTGTGTTTATAATATACATAAATTAAAATTAAAGTTATGCTATCATATTAATATAATTTCATGATAATATAACAATTACACCAGCAAGTCCACCTCTGAATGGCTGAAGAAAAACAAAATGAAGACTTTGGAGTAGCCTAGTCAAAGTCCTGACCTGAATCCTTTGAGATGCTGTGGCATGACCTTAAATAATATAAAAAAATAAAATTATATTAATGATATCATATTAATATAAGAAGTACATTGGGGAAAAAATATTAAACTATTATTAAATTTATATTATTCATGTATAAGTTTGTTTCTATATTATATAAATAAGTGCTATGTTATACTCTTATTTATTAATATTGCAATGTATTATATTAACATTAAACATATAAATAAAAAAATTTATGTATACTATCATATATCATTTAATGTAAGAAGTACGTTATGTGGTGTAAGAATTATGAATAAAAAATGACAGTATATTTATTCTGTTTAAATGACTCTTAATGGCTCTCATCTTATTGTTTTAATACATGGCTCATGTTTTGAAATGCTGTGTTTGTGTGTGCAGCTTACGAATCCTCCACACCCCTGGCAGCCGCAGGGCCGGCGTGGCACGGGCGCTCTATCAGCACCTCTAAACTGCGGCTGGTGGAGTTCTCCTCCTTCCTGGAGCATCAACGGGACCCAGATTCAGTAAGTCAGCACACATACCCAGAACCACTGCAGAGACAGCGACAGAAGAGCAGCCTTGACCTGCTTTAGCAGCCGCAGTGCAGCTCCTCTAAAATACAGCTTCAGTACTGAAGAAGACCTACATGTTTTACACACAACAAGCACATTTTCGGCAGATCTGCAATTGTTATTACTTCATAAACATTATAAACTAATATATGTTACATTTATTTTAAAATATAATATTTATATATAAAAATAAATATACTATTTTGTATCTTTATATTAAATTAAAGTATATATAAGAAATAATATTACAGTAAATAATACAAAAATATGCATTTGTATTTATTTACTTTATTGCATAAATATAATTTTACGTGATGAATAAAAAAAAAATTAATCAGACTTATTAACAGCTTATGCTGTTTATACAAACTACTTTGAATTTAAATGAAAAGATCAGTTTTAGTAGTATTGCATGATTTTATTTGCATATTCTTGGTGTTGGTGAGAGATGACTGATTTTGCAGTTATCCTTGGATCATCGACCTTGTGTGATGCTTTAGAGAAATGCAAATCTACTGACACCAGCTGCAGGGCAGTTGGCTCTCATTAGAGATGGTCACGATGACCGAGGTCACATCCTGCGCTTTTCCTGATCCACTGATAATGATGGAAATCTACAGAAACTCAAATGTCCGGCAAAATCATTTCGTGTCATTTTCAGCTCAATTTAAACGAAGCGCTAAGCTAAAACAGATCTTGTCTTGTAAACTAGAAGAATCCAGAAGTGTAGCTTCTAAACATGCTTATTATGATCCAGTAGTCATCCAGAAGTGGGACTCACTCCCTTAAGTGTCTTCCGATCATCAGACCTATTTAAGCACTGATCTGACTACAGTCAAGAAAATGAAGACAAAACGGCATGTGTAGATTAAATGCGAGACCCTGGAAGAACTTCTCGTGACCTACAGGTTACCAAAATGCCTTGCCGTCCGTCTTAAAGCAGACCTGTGTAATCGATCATGTTGGCAGCATCTCTATGAAATGCTTGTTCCTCTGGTCTGGCGTGACAGCGGCTATTAATCTTGCGTTTGTAGCCATACGCAGAACGAGTTGCGTTCTCAATACAGTCACACAAACGTTCAGCTTTGGGGAAGAGGTTCAGAACGTACCTGAAATGCCTCACAAATACAATCTGAAACGCTTCATTTCTCACACAAACAACATTTGGGAATAGCACTGAACTCGTTGAAAACTATAAACTATAGTTAAAAACAAAAGCTTAAGCAGTTATTCTTTCGCAAAATATCTTAGTATTTTAGTTCATTTTCTATAGCCAGTAGTAATGTTGCCTTGATCTAATTATACATCTCTTTCTGCAGTACAACAAGCATCTATTTGTGCACATCAGCCAGACGAATCATTCGTACAGAGATGCGCTCCTGGAGACAGTGGACATACGTCAAATCTACGACAAATTTCCTGAGAAGAAGGGTGGGCTGAAGGAGCTGTTTGGAAAAGGACCTCAGCATGCCTTCTTCCTTGTCAAGTTCTGGGTGAGTCTTCAGCGTTTGACAGTTTGAGCAGCTGAGTCGTGGCATTGACCTGTGGTGCTCATGCAGTCATTCTCCAATCACATTTCCTTCTTTTCCCTGCACTTTTCCCCAGTTTTTCATAGTTTCTGTAATTTACACAATGGTGTTATTGCAATTTAGTGAGATATATTGTGAATATATTTATAAGTGATAAGGTTTATAATAATTCGTAATTTATTTTAGCAGTTTTGTACACATTTTATTTTCACTTTTGGGCTCTTTTAAAATAAATACTTAATATATAATATAAAAACTTTTCATATTAAAAGACAGCATTTTCAATACAAAAACTTTACATTTTAGTAACTAATTATTAATAGAGGTGCCTCTATTGAGTATTTTGGCTTTGGCTTAACAAAAAAATAAATCTAATATAAACTTTAATTTAAACATCATTAATGTTTATGATGGCTTTTATAAGTCTGGGATAAGGGTAATTCATATAATAATTCATAATTAATTTCTTCAATTTTTATACACATTTTCACTTTTGGCTCTTTTTGTAATGTAAATTTTAATACAATTTTAAATGTTAATAAAAATTTTATAATAAATTGAACATTAAATGATTTCATAGCCAGTATAAAACGTAAAAGTTTGATAACATTATAAATAGGAATGTTTTTTGAAGTATGTGCAATTTTGGGTTTATTTAAAAATATATAATAATGTTAAAATGTCATATTGATAATATTAACTATTCCTAATACCTCAAACACGCCTCGAAATAAACGGATTATTTTTTTAAATATTGTCAAATATAAAACTTTAAATATTGATAACTAATAATAGATCGTTGTTTCATTAAGTATGGGCAATTTTTAATTCATTAAAAAAATATTTTGATATTAAATATAAACTTTAAATTGTTATATGTATTTATCATTTTGAATTTATTAAAAAATATATTTTGATATTAAATATAAACTTTAAATTGTTATATGTATTTATCATTTTGAATTTATTAAAAAATATATTTTGATATTAAATATAAACTTTAAATTGTTATATGTATTTATCATTTTGAATTTATTAAAACAATTATTTTGATATTAAATATAAACTTTAAATTCATTAAGTCATTAAGAGTTTATCTTGAAGTTAGAGTTTATCTTGAAATAAACTCTAAAATTAACTTTAATTTAAATGTAAAAATTAATATTTTTTTAATGATGGCTGATCTGGGTAAAATCTATCCATAAAATACATTTGAAAAATAAACTTCTATGACGCAAAAGCGGCCAAAGTTGAAGAATCAGCCATATATCAGCATTATGTAGGTTTCTGCCACACTGTTGTAGATTTCAGCATCAGCTGTTGAAAAACAGTGTCCGTTGAGCACTAGTCACCTGCATCGGTTTGAACTGAGGCAGCTGAACTGGTTCAACACGTTCCTGTTTGATTAAAGTGCAGTGTTAAAGCCAGCAGTGGCGTATTTAATCCAGGGTGGTCTGAATGAGAAACAGTGTGCTGGATTTGATAGAGAGCCTTTATTTGAACACCTGCCGCTCTGAGCGACAGGTGCAAGCGCAGGAGCAGACCAGACCACCACATCCTGTACAGACTCATAGAAAGGACATTCAAACACCGCTCTCTGGAGGTTAACACTTATTACACTTTTGCATCAGATACTAGTTTTGGATGGTGGTCTGTGCTGGCCAGTAATCTTATTTTATAGCCTTGAAATCTCTTAAGACTGTGCAAAGAAAAAAAATTGTTTTTCAACAGTGTCTGATGATGTACTCGCTGTTTTAAAATAAACTTGCAAAAAAGTTTCATTAAATGCAGCTGTAAAAAAATAAATGAATAAAGACGCCAGTGATTCCAGGTGTCTGTGGCCTTGATGAATATCACAGGAGGCTCTATTCACAGCTTAAAGTGCCCAAAGAGTTTACTGTTAACATAAAGCACCTTTTATTTATTAGCATCTGACATATTCATTTGCTCAACTGTATGCAAACGAAGGGGTGGAATTCAACACATTTGCTTTTGTAAATGTTTTCTCTCCATCTGTTTATTCGTTTTATCTGATGTGTGCGCAGGCCGACCTCAACTGTAACATCCTGGAGGATTCTGGAGCATTCTACGGCGTGACCAGTCAGTACGAGAGCTCAGAGAACATGACCATTACCTGCTCGACAAAGGTCTGCTCCTTCGGGAAACAAGTGGTTGAAAAAGTTGAGGTGAGGAGTGGAAATAAAGCTTCTGTATAAAAAGATGTTTATAAACATTAAAATGTTGTCATATTGAAAATAAACTCAATTTACTATATATACACGTATTGTTTACTTATTTTACGCCATATTACTATTAATTTGCGTATAATTTTATTAACATTTACTTTTTCATTAACTCAATTTTTAAAGTTCATTTAATATTTAACATTTTCTTATATTGTAATTATTGTAATATTTAAAACCATATTCACAAAACATTTTTGAAATAAATATTTTTGTAACAATTTTTCTAGTATCTTTTTATTTTCAATACTGTAATATTTCAAATCTTTTTTAATGGTTCATATGTGTTTTTATATACAATTATATGTCATTTTATTTGCATATATGTAATGTTAAAGTTCATTTAATATATTAAGTATTATGCATTATATTTAATATAATTTAAATGTCTTTTTTTATAATAAAATGATTACATTTCACCACACAATATTAATATTATTATACTATACTATATTATTATTAATATATACACATGCGCATATATATGTACACATGCATTATATGTAATTTTGTATTTTTATATATATAATATGTAATATATTGTATAATATGTAATTGTATTTAATTTTAGATATGCATGTAATTATAAAATGTCAACCGCATTATTTAATATAACATTTTTTATTTAAAAAACTGGTAGACGGAGTATGCGCGGTTTGAGAACGGCCGTTTTGTGTACAAGATCAACCGGTCTCCCATGTGTGAATACATGATCAACTTTATCCATAAGCTCAAGCACCTGCCTGAGAAGTACATGATGAACAGCGTACTAGAAAACTTTACCATCCTACTGGTAGGTCCTACAATTCCCATGTCATTTGTAAATGCACATGTGTAAATAGGTGTTTATTTGTGAGTGTTCTTTGCATTTAAAGCTGAAGTAGGCCTATGTCATGTCATTTTCTGTTTAAAATCATATCCCAGATACAGAGACTGTGAGTAAAGCCATTCGTCGGTTAATTTTCGCGAAAACTATAAAGATTCTCTCAGCTGCGCTATGAAAATTCCCCCATTTGTTTTGAACGACCAGTCTAAACTCTGACTCGACCAATGGCGTGAGTTGGGGGCTGGTCCATCAATCACGTATTCGGAAAGCTGTTTTGAAAACAGATTTATTTTTGAAATTCCATTAGGTGGCACTATTGGCGCAAAAATGACATATTCAGCTTTCTGAAACACACATACACACACACACACGTTGTTTTTGAGAAACAAATATATCACCATTTGAATTACATGTGGCTTGTTTTGATGGAGTCAAAAAAAAAACATAAGTAATGCTTCTTACAATCACTAGGTGGCAGTACATTGTAAATAATGACACGCTACACTACCCTGTTTTCTTCAATGTGCTACCCTATTTTCCACGAATACTTTATTCCTTTTTACAATAAAATTGAATACATATTAAATAAACATCACAACATATTATATCAAATGTTAAAATTATTATTTATAATAATTATAAATTTAATTATGAAAATAATTATAAAATTATGAATATAATCACGTTATTATTATTATTACTACTATCTATATATACTATGTCATGTGTCACTGAACATTGAGCGCTGGACCAGCTAAAGAACACAAATATTGACAATGATTTGGTCAATAACTCATAAATGGACAATAATATATTACTTGGTCCATACTGTGATGCTGTGTCCGGCCGGAGCGACGAGACAAAACCAATAAAACCCATTATAAACGAGGCATTTGTTGCACACAGCGTCTTCACAACATGGCGGCGGCGGAGCCAGCAACAATAAAGTTACGCCTTCTTTCTTTGCGTGAACATTTGGGCGGTGTTATGCAAATCTTCCCACACAGTGACGTAGACATGTGGGGGCGTGTTTAAACGAGGCATTTTAGGAGGGCGTGGATGAGTCTTAACTTTTATAAAGAATATCTCTGGGTTTGAGACTTTAGTCTTTGCAACTTTAGGGATCTTATCTATTCACGAACAGCTTGTAACACTCCAAAGAGAAAGGAAAACTTGAAATCGCATCATATGACCCCTTTAAAAGAAAACAGACACAAAAAAAAATGTAATTAATTAAATAAAATTAATGGTTTAAAATGCTACAAGTTAATTTAGACATCACATTGTAATTCACACTGAATTTTTTTTAATTCATTTTCAATTTGCTAAAGATTAAATTTAACAGTAATATTACATTATTGTGTTTTTAAAGATTAACTTGTATCTTGTGTGTATACACACACACACACAGATTATTATAATTTATAATTATTATTATTATTATCAGTACTAACTACAGACATATGTTGACAGCTCTATGTTAGCACATAATATAGATTATATCTCAATATAATCCTGACGGCTTATTTCACCAGGACAGTAGTCTTTTGCCCTCTCTCATCTGGGGATATTACAGCTTAAATCTGCACTGACCGATGGGAAATCTGAACATCCGGTTATGCACAGCTGGATAAAACCAGTGTAGTGATTTACGTTATAGTCACTGACCTTTTTCAGACTAACAATAATAAACCTCCCTCTAGTGAACTACTTTACAGTCTGAATCTCATATTTTATCAAATGTACATTACGTCATGAATAGACGTAGGCTACTAGCAATTTAAACAACTAGTAACACCAATAATATTAACAAAGATTATAGGTTATATAATGTTTTATATATATTTGTTGAACTGTGTTCTTAGGACAAGGGTATTTTTTATAGTATGTTTGGCAAGTTATTTTCTCATTGGGACAAGTTGTCATTTGTTTTAAATGTTACATATTTATGCAGTTTAATTACAAGGTTCCCAAAAGTTTTTATCTGCCAAACCTCTTTGACCTGAATATTTACTTGAAAAACCTCTTGAAATTTTAAGTTAATATTTCACAACACATTTAACAACACATTCAGTGTTCACAGTTCTCTATTTGGTTAATTACATGCAGGTGAACTAAGAAAATATGTAACTGTTTTATTTTTTTATATCATTTATTTTAATTTGATATTTTTAGGATATATTAGCTTTTCATTCTCTGATGCTGCTTAATGCATGCGGGTAAACTAATAAAATGTCAGCTTTTTATTAAGTGTTATATTTCTTTTTTATAATTTCTTTGGAATTTGAAATTTTGTAATGTAATTATTAACTTTTTTCTCTGAATTTGGTTAATGACATGCAGGTAAACTAATAAAATGTCAAATTTTATAGCCTAGAATTTTGTATTTTTCATTTATTTTTAAATGAATACTCTATTTTACATTTTTATGAAGTAATTATTAACTTTTTGTGAACTCTCAACCCCCAGGGGTTGATGAATTTCAGTTTGGAAAACCTTGAATTACAACATTTGTTAGTCAAAATAAAGATTCAATATTTTTGTGTTAGTTTCAAAAATTACTTTGTGATTCATGGATGTTTTGTGTGTTTACATTGTGCTGAAACGTCGATACAGGCGGTTTAATGACAGGTTCCATAGCGACAACTTTCCCATATTCAGTCCTGTGACAACAAGCCCCGTTATTGGTCAACATATGTTCTGCGAAATCTATTTTTCCCCTGCGCAATAATGTCGGAAATGTTCAGATGCATTTTTGCTTACACAGAAATGCTTTCAAAAATAATGTAGTAAAATGGAGTGAAAAAGTGACCACTAGCCCCTATATTCACAGCATGTGTTTATGATCATCTGAGTGTATTATTATCTATTAAGAGTGAAGTTGGAGTTTAATGTCATGTGATGTTGGGACTCGATGGGGTGGTTCCTGAGTGCTCAGAACCACGCTGCTGTAGTTCAGAGACAAACACAACTCGGTGAAGAGCGCGCGGGGCGAGTCATCTCTCTAGTTTTACCGCGTGTAACATTTCCTGAATGTGAGAGTGGAAAGTAAAACAGGTTCCGGGGACTTCGATGTGAGTTATCATGGAACAAGAGGAGAGCAAAATCTCGGTGTGGGTATGCCGGGAGGAGAAACTGGTGTCCGGGCTGTCCAGACGCACCACCTGCGCGGACGTAGTGAAAGTGCTGCTGGAGGACCAGAACTTCCAGAAAGGCGCGATGCTCACCGGTACTCCGCAGTCGTACTGTATCGTGGAGAAATGGAGAGGTTTTGAGCGCATTCTGCCGAATAAAACCAAAATCCTGCGGTTGTGGAGCGCCTGGGGCGACGAGCAGGAGAACGTGCGCTTCGTCCTGGTCAGGAGCGACGCGTCGCTGCCCAACAGCGGACCGAGGAGCGCAGAGGCGCGGGTCGTGCTCAGCAAAGAGAGCCCTTGCACTACCAGAGCCACCATGCAGATTTCACAGGAAAAACAACGGAGGATTGTGCGGAAGGCTTTTAGAAAGCTGGACAAAATGAATAGGAAGAAAGAGGAGGCTTCGAGTGACAAATCATCGGCGGAGAAAATGGAAACGCTCGTACATCTCATAGTTTCGCAGGATCATACTCTCCGACAGCAGATACAGCGAATAAAAGAGCTGGATAATGAAATAGAAAGGTATGAATCAAAAGTTCACTTTGACAGAATGCAAATACACGGCGTAAACTACGTGCAAGACACTTATTTGCTCGACCAAGGCTTGGATACAGATTCCAGCGCGCATCCGGACGCGTCCTTTGCGCAGTTTGAGGAATACGCGGCACGCTGCGACCAAGTCATTCAACTTAAGGAGGAACTAGCCGAGAGGGAGGCTCTGATGGAGATACTTACAGGTGAAATACAAGAAGAACTCAACCACAGGTGGATGAGACGGCGACAGGAGCAGCTTTCCAACAAAGACGCGGAGAGCACTGGAGAAGAAACGGCTCTCAAGGTGACTTCGGTCCCTGAGGAGCCGGTCCCAGATGTTCCGGACCTCCTAACAGACAATGAACTCCAATTAGAGGAGGAGAGGATCAAAACACAACTGGATACGAGTTTATACATCGGGCTGCGCTTGAACACCGATCTGGAGACGGTGCAGAGCGACTTGGATATGAGTCAGGAGCTTTTGGACGCGAAGGAAAAGGACTTGAGGGAATTACTCGAAAAGGTTCACAGATTAGACGAGTTGGAAGGGACACAGGCGGATGACAGCAAAGATGAGGGAGAAACTGAACAAATGCCTTCCGTAGACAAAGACAATGTTTGGGTAGAGCAGGCGAGGGGACTGTCAAAAACATGCACCAATGATGATGATTCGGACACCGGACTGAGTTCAATGCACAGCCAGGAGTCGGATAACGCGCCTGTTTGCGAGTCACTTGTGTGACAGGACGCTGTGGAAATCGTAAAGGGCCTAGAATCGTGTATGTGGCTCCGCGGGAAGCATTCGAACCGGCGCGAACTCAGGGAAGATTTCGCCTCTATTGATTTCACGAATGTTCTCTCTTCATAAGAGAGGAACGCATGTAAATTATACCAATGTAGTGTTATGATCGCCTCACTCTCCAATTGCCTCACTTATACACACGGAGAATAGCTTGTAAGGTGCAGCTTATCAAATTATAACGAAATAACCAATGCATTGACTGTCCACTGTGTGCTGACTAATGTTGTAATACCAATACTATGTATTTGTTTTACGTAGCCTTATGTTTAAAAGCTAGAATTAGAGTTTGTGGGTTTCTAATATATATATATATATATATATATATATATATTCAAAATGTACATTGTTAAATACTAGCTTTTAAACATAAGGCTACGTAAAACAAATACATAGTATTGGTATTACAACATTAGTCAGCACACAGTGGACAGTCAATGCATTGGTTATTTCGTTATAATTTGATAAGCTGCACCTTACAAGCTATTCTCCGTGTGTATAAGTGAGGCAATTGGAGAGTGAGGCGATCATAACACTACATTGGTATAATTTACATGCGTTCCTCTCTTATGAAGAGAGAACATTCGTGAAATCAATAGAGGCGAAATCTTCCCTGAGTTCGCGCCGGTTCGAATGCTTCCCGCGGAGCCACATACACGATTCTAGGCCCTTTACGATTTCCACAGCGTCCTGTCACACAAGTGACTCGCAAACAGGCGCGTTATCCGACTCCTGGCTGTGCATTGAACTCAGTCCGGTGTCCGAATCATCATCATTGGTGCATGTTTTTGACAGTCCCCTCGCCTGCTCTACCCAAACATTGTCTTTGTCTACGGAAGGCATTTGTTCAGTTTCTCCCTCATCTTTGCTGTCATCCGCCTGTGTCCCTTCCAACTCGTCTAATCTGTGAACCTTTTCGAGTAATTCCCTCAAGTCCTTTTCCTTCGCGTCCAAAAGCTCCTGACTCATATCCAAGTCGCTCTGCACCGTCTCCAGATCGGTGTTCAAGCGCAGCCCGATGTATAAACTCGTATCCAGTTGTGTTTTGATCCTCTCCTCCTCTAATTGGAGTTCATTGTCTGTTAGGAGGTCCGGAACATCTGGGACCGGCTCCTCAGGGACCGAAGTCACCTTGAGAGCCGTTTCTTCTCCAGTGCTCTCCGCGTCTTTGTTGGAAAGCTGCTCCTGTCGCCGTCTCATCCACCTGTGGTTGAGTTCTTCTTGTATTTCACCTGTAAGTATCTCCATCAGAGCCTCCCTCTCGGCCAGTTCCTCCTGAAGTTGAATGACTTGGTCGCAGCGTGCCGCGTATTCCTCAAACTGCGCAAAGGACGCGTCCGGATGCGCGCTGGAATCTGTATCCAAGCCTTGGTCGAGCAAATAAGTGTCTTGCACGTAGTTTACGCCGTGTATTTGCATTCTGTCAAAGTGAACTTTTGATTCATACCTTTCTATTTCATTATCCAGCTCTTTTATTCGCTGTATCTGCTGTCGGAGAGTATGATCCTGCGAAACTATGAGATGTACGAGCGTTTCCATTTTCTCCGCCGATGATTTGTCACTCGAAGCTAAAATGATACAAATTAATACTAATATCAATAATAATAATAATAATAATAATAATAGATTGTATACAACATATATTATATTGCTTAACAACAACAACAATAATAAAAAATATTATTAATAATAATATTAGATTGTATGCAACATGTTGTTAACCAATATAATATGTTGTATACAATCTGATAATAATCTGTTATTAATGTTGTTGTATAATGTTTCACTTGATAATAATACAAAAAAATGAAAATTATAAAAATGAATACTAATATTAACAATAATTGCTAAGAAGAAATGTACTGTATGTAATAAAATGGTTGTAATAATTATTGTCACATAATATTATAATATTACTATATTTACTATATATATATATATATATATATATATATATATACTATGTCTATTGTGTTATTGTGTACTCTAAAAGTTGGAGAAAAAAACACATTTAAAATGTCTAATTTACAGTTATACACATTTAAAATGTCTAATTTACAGGCTTTTTTCTTCTGAGAAAACAAAGAAAAAATATTGATGACTCATCCTGCACTACACTACACTGAACTCAGATGTTCTCTAGAAACAAGTAGATAAAACATTATAATTATTGGCTGTGATGTACCTGAAGTCTATTGGCTATTTAAAAATAAAACAGGATGAGGCTTTCAATATGCCCTGGCCACACTTCCTTTTAAACAGGAAATATGTCAACAGAGGAAAGAAATCAGTGTAGCTGTATTTACATCACAAACATGAACCATGATTTGCTAGTCAGTTGCAGGTGGTATTAGGGGGTGGGGCATTCTGACTCTATTGAGCATCTGATTGGACAAAAATCTGTGTAGTGCAGGATGAGTCATCAGGATTTTTGGTCAGTTTTACCAGAAGAAAATCTTTTTTTTTCAACGTTTAGCATATAGAATTCCTCGTAGTTAAAACACATGGATTAAACCACAAAACTCTCATTTTGATTTAATGGGGTCTTGAGAATTATTTATTGTACAACATTTAGGCAGATAAAATATCTGCATTAAGCAACTATGTGCTAATCACTTCCATTTTCATCAGCGGACTAATTAGAACAATTTGCTATCAGCTTTTACTCGAGGAATCAATTTGTATAACCAGAAAACATCCTGAGCTGTAACTAAAGTTGTGGGAATGAAAAAGTGCGTGCGACGCACTGCTGTTTAGTCATACTTCTGAGGAGCTGATGCGTGAATCCCTGCTTGCTCACAGTAAAGAGGAAGACTAAAGCGATTTCAATGAGACTGCTCCAATTAAACTAAAAGCACAGTCTTCTAGACATACTTTGCTGTTGTCATTTCTGGTTACTTTTTTTTCTTTATACACATTCATTTTTTAGTCACAAGGGACCTTTTAGGATCAAATGATCATTTTGTCATTGACTAATCTCACTCAGTACATATGATTTCTCTATTGCAACTAGTAGCAAAATTATCAAGTGGAACACCCAAATATGTTTTTGAATGCTGTTGCAGCATTTAATCTCAATTTGTTGGGTAATTTATTCATTATATCATTATATGAATTATTGCTTCAAAATCAAACTTTAAAATTTTTTGCCTATGTAGCACAAACACATTATAAAACAAAGTCATATACTCACTTAAAACATGCCAGAAACTGTACATTTTACTCCAGCATGACCTCAGCATCATAAACAACACAGAGTTTCTTAGGTTTGGGCAGGGCATCCATCCAACGCAATGCAGCAGAGTCACTGAGTTCAGGGATTCTGTGGTGTATGAAGAGGATTTAAGAGTTAAGCCTTAAATGTGATGTTTTAAAACAGAGGAAGAAAAGGGAAAGAACCGCCCTCCCACTTCATTCTCAAATACGTTGAGTTTTAAGGGATGAATTATGACATTTGGAAAAGCCCTAATATGTCAACTTCCTCCGAATTTGCAGATAAAAGAAGCAATTGTATAAAAAAATGTTTTATGTTCCATCTCTACAAACTTTAAATATAAAAACTCAAATTAAAATGGAATAAAAGTCCTCTGTTTATGCTCTATGATTTATGCTCTAAAATAGAGCCATTTATTTGTTGATAAATAATTAGTCATTTAAAATAAGGCAAATCCATCAGAAGTCATATAAAAGGGGAAAATTCTGGGTCTGGTTTTCATGCTGGCAGCAGTGAGTTCTGTGATTAAAGTCGAAGAGGAGGAGGGGGACAGATGATAAAGCACCATTAATCTGGATTGGATTGAACCATTTCAAATAAACAACAGCTCTGACTGGTTTGGAAGAGATTCAAGAACAGCTGGACGAGCAGAGATGCACAGTGTGCCAATGTGGGACAAACAGCAGCCGTGTTGAATCAGGCGACACGCTGAGAATGACATTCAACAAAACCTTCAGGATTATTCTTGGAATCACAGGAACTGCTGTATTGTACAAATGTAGATCTAATGTTTGCCATTATTTATTGTCCTGTTTATCTGTGTAAAACAAAAGCAGGGGTTTTGTGACAATAAACCAGTGTGTTTATAGGTGCAGAGCCAACACAGACTCATTACACAAGCATAACTGAGTACAGTTTTGGCAGGATCAAAGACATGTCATTCAAAAAGTCCTCTAAGTACTTTAAATTACGTCTCACAAGGAGATAGTAATTCAAGAAAGTTCATTTCGAAGGGGCACATTCAATAACCGCTGTCATTCATTACAGGAAGTGATGCGTGAATGATTGACACATAAAAAAAAAATACCTCAAAGGCAAAAAAGTGTGTCAATTTTGGACTTAGCATCAAAGTCAATGCATGGAATGAGCTGTAATTGTTGTCTTAGATTCAGTTTAGATTACCACAGCGCAACAAACAAATTTGAACCTCTCAGGCTAGAATTAAACTGCCATTGTTAGCAGTATGTAGCATTTAACAAAGTAAAACAGGCTATGCAGCTTTTATTGTAAGGAATTATAATTCGGTTTTTTTTGTTAAGGAACTTTAGGTTACCAAAGCAACCATTACAAACAACCAAAACAAAACGCCTCTTTATTTGGTCCATCATACATACATAATATATACATACGTTTCCTCCGAGTAGGCAAGGGATGCTGTGTCATATTGGATGAGAAAAAAAAAATCACATTACAAAAATAAAACAATGATAATATTACAAAATATAACATTAAAAAGTGTATAAATCACTCGTGAATCAGGCTGAATGAACAATATAATGGCATTAATGGGAAGACTCATTTAAAAAAGTAAACAATTCAAACACTTAGTCTTAGATATAACCACTTTGTTACATCAAAATTAGACTTGAAATGGCCTGAAAACATGATCTGTGGGAGTTTTTAGTGAGTAAACAGCTTGGTCAAATTAAAAGTAAGTCTCTGTGTCTGTGACCAATATTTACTGAGTTTTGATGACTGATGAACCGAATAATTCAAAAATAGTTAAAAGTTAACTATTAAAAAGAATAGCTGAACATAAGTTCACAAAATATATTGTTTAAATTGTTACTGCCTTGAGTTATTATTTTAGAATAAATGTAAAATACTTAAAAACACTAACTTGATTAGATTCATATTGGCTTTAATAAATAGAATATTGATTACACTGTTAATGTAAAAATATAAAGTAGAATTTATGTATTTATTTTGCTTTTTCTGATAGTGTGCGTAATGTTTATTTGACCAAGAAAATGTGACTGGAGACAAGAAAACTTTGAGGATTTTAAATCATTAATTAAGGTAACCTGTATCTTGGAGCCTCTAACAATGCACGTACAAAGAAATCGTACAAAATCGACTGTACTATAGCTACATTTCTCAAGCAGAGCGGGGGGTATACTAAAAAGTGTTGCCATTTGCCATTTGTGTTGACGCCTAGTCTTTGTGCTGTGCGCATGCGCATTGTTTGCGGCGCAGGGAATCGGATGTGCAGTCAAAGGCCTTCCGGTACTGAGGCTCACACAACAGCACGAAAATGGCGCAGATCGCCAAAACACATGACGGTAAATTCATTTTTCAAAGTTTATTGAAGAATATATCAGATTTTATCGTCCATGTCTACATTGCAGTTGGGGTATCTGTTCTTTTCTAGTCCTAAGAAGTGGAATTAGCGAGAAAAAGTAGAATTAGGCCAGTTTGAGGCTGTGAATAGAATATGGCGTCTGATCGTTGAATTAAACCTAGTCGTGGCGCACATGAGAAATATCAACAAATATTATATCCGGAGTAAAACAATGATAATATTACAAAATATAACATTAAAAAGTGTATAAATCACTCGTTTTTCTAAAGAAACATTGTGCTACAGCGACACCAGCGAGTAAAGTTACAGCAGGACCCAGGAGTCCACGTCTCTCTCACCTCCCCTGAGCCCATTCAATTTTAACAGACCCCCTAA